AAAAGAACATGTATTCCCGTAAAACGATTGGCAACTACAAATAGTACGAATTTTGGTTACCCGATCGAATCTTCAAAAGATAAGAATATGGTACTGTATTTTTCTCAAAACATCCAAACAGCTTCATCTTGCAATCCAAAAAGAAATAATCACATCTACAATAACTGCCCAACCTATGCCGGCAAGCTTAAAATACAGCGAAAGTACTTCACCACAAAGTCCACGCTTACATATTACATCCACAATGAACTCGGAGAACTCGGAACTGCATCGTATTAGAAGTATTTCTTGCACTGCTAACTACCACCAACAGGTAAAATATATATATATACACCTACCACCTACTGGTAAAGACTATGATCGAGTTTTTTGCTGGGTGCCAAAAGAAAATGCTTTAAATCTTCCCTCCCGCATATAGATGGGAAATAATAATCCCTAAGAAGGAGGCGTCTATCAGAAATAAGAGCAGGAAAGGTTCTTGTCTCCTTTTCTTTATTTTTTTCGTTCATTCTTTTTATTCGAACTTCATAGAGGGAGAGATGGGAACCGAACTGCGGAATAATTTTGACAAAAATGAAATACATGAAGCTATTTCACTGCAGGTCTACCGTTAGTCAAATATTTCCAAACCATGACTCCCAATTGCAAACATAAACAAGTATGAAAGAATTAGGTGAAATGCACATGAAGTCGTTTCAAATAATAAAACCAAATACAGTTCGCTGCTTTCTACCAGAAAGAGAAACACTCTTAAAATATCTAGCGATTGTCCTCAAAGTATCGAAAACTAAACAACTAAAACGTTCATCCTAATAAAAGCGACCATATCAAGACTGGCATAGTTCTCGAGAAATCACAAGGCTTTTTTACCATCCCTCGTTATCAAAACCTCCCATATTCAAGCAAATCCTACAGAGAAGTGCCGTTCCACAATTAAACGTCGTCAATTGTTTTACACGAAATTTCTTATAATACCTAATGACCATTAATAGGAAACGTTGACTGGATAAAATAAGCGTCAATCACCTGCAGATCGAACAACTCAGCGCTTGCCACGATGCCCGCCACCTACCCTTGCACCAGGGTGGCGAGCAAATTGCAACCTTAGTTTGACAGAGTCATGGCCATGCTCATTGAATATATAACCTGCAAAATCGAGCTTAACTATTTATACCGCACAACTTGCCATGCTTCAAAAGCGGGAAGAAGGTTTCATGACCCACACACGGTAAGAAGCAAACATTACTTCAATGATTAAATTCTACCGATAACGGTTTACTTTCTCAGAATCCTAACTATGACGCAATGATCCAGCACATTCCCTGTATCAATGAATGGAAGCAAACAAACACGACTAGGGAAAGACAAGCTAGGTTTCAGAAAGCTAACTGCCACGCTTTTATTTGTACGTAAAATAGAAGGCAAAACTGTGAAATATTCTGCATTAAACTGTTTTCTTTACCTGATTAATTTTATGTTATGGTCTTGACATGGCAATGGGAATTGGGAAAAGGCGAGACGAGGCCCATAATAAACCGATATTTAATTGCGATGTTAGCAAGATCACACAGAGTAAAGTAAACGAGAAAAACAAATACTTGGTCTCACAGTAGGTCGATGCAACCAGTTGAGGATCTAACAGAGGAGAATCTAACGCAACCAGTACAAGAAAGACGACCGGTTAAGCTTTAGGACTGGAGAAGCATAAAGTCATATTAAGGTACAGAATCTTGGAGGATCTAACTAATGTAGGAGGCAAGCATACTTGATTTTCTTGCAAATTTCGATCAGTATATCTGCTACAATCAAATGACATGAAGAAATTCAAAGTCAATGCAGAACGAACCGAAAGGTTCCTCCAAAAATCCAAGATCACATTGCAGAGCAGATTGTGAAGACATAGCTATCCTGTTAACTTGCTGATATAAAGTATGTACTGAAAATTTTCCTTGAAATCACAGGATGCCAAACGTACATGCTGATGAATTATGACTTGTTTGAATAGGTAACCTTGAGAGTTAGGTTGTATGTTATAATTTTAACCAGAGAAAAATCTGAGAAACCCCCAAAATGAATGAAAAAGTAAAACCTAAGATTGTAATGGAATAAGAATAGCTGAGATTCTTTTGATTTTTTTGTTTGTTTAAACTATCCCTTCATAGCACATATATCATTGATTTTATGGTTCTAATCAGTCTTTCTTTGCAAATGAAAGTTAAGAAACAAGCAGACATAAACAAGTTAAAAAATTGGAATAAATGACCCAAGTGAATTTTTTATATTAAACTTAGCCATCCCTTTGAAAAGAAATCTTGCTACAATCTGATCACCCTTAGAAAGAATTAAACCTTTCTCAAAACCTCACGTGGAAGAAAAAAATGGGCAAAGGAGGGGGGAAGGGAGAGGGAGAAAGCAAAACCAAACAGGGTGTTACTGAAGGTGGGTCTTCCCAAGGTCACATTAGCCTGCTTGCCCCTATTCTGTGTTTTACTAGTTCATGCATGGGTGATGGGGTGTGTCAGTGCCTTCATTTACAGTATAAAAAATAACATCCACGAAATATAACTTGATCCACAAAATATAGGAGACCGGAAAATCCTTGTCAGGCTAACCTTGTAAAGCATCCTTTGAAGTGGCAGCATGAGAAGGGCTTAGAAAATCAACAAAACAAAGTTTTATCGGATCTCCTCCAGGCTGCACAAATCATGAATTATCGATGTACTATATATTTAATCTGAAGTCAAGATAAAAATAAATAAATAAACTTACATATCTAGGTTCTTTGGTTACAAGTCTCACTTCCTTGTACCCAACAAAGGGGCGGAAAATATCTGTCAACGAAGTAAAGGAATAAAACTAAAGAGGAAAATTGAAAAATAAAACGCCGAAGTGAAAATTACATCCAATCAGGATACGAGAAACTTCTCGGCGCGTACAATCCGAAGGCAATCCCTCTACATAGAGAGTGCTGGATGCATCAGGAGGAAGAGAAGGTTCGGGCCTTCCACTGCCAAATCTTAATGTCCTATCTTTTATTGTTGGCTCAGGATCAACACCACCGATACCCACCATATGGGGATCATCAACAGAATGGCGAGGCATTCCCCCGCTCATTGGTCTTGCAGACCCACTAAATGATGACAGTTGCTGGCAGGATGTTTTCATTTATTAACTCCACTTATATAATAATGAAAAGGATAAAAACTTTGAACCTTAATCACACACACATACACCAAAAAGAAACTACTAGTTCAATACCGTGCCGTGAAGGTAACGATCATAAGATGCTCCAATGAAGTCACCATCTCCAGTTACCCGCATTGCTCCTCCATCATCCTGTGAATAATAACTAGAAAGCTCATGGCCGCCTGAGACTACAAGATTAAGCACACTTCAGCCAGCAAACAACCAAGAAAAGAAGAAGGGATAAGATGGGCTGAGAAGGAGCACATACTAATCCTATCCAAAGGCTAAAAAAAAAAACCACATTAAGGAATGAAGAACAAAAGAGTGCTGAGCTCCTCAAACTTTTGATGGTAACAATTAGAGCAAACTAGTGAACCTGCTAAAAGGGTACCAAGAATCATAAAATCCACAACAAAGTTTCCAAGCAAACACAAACTGTGCAAGTACAAACAGCATATCAATTAAGCCAGATAATCACCAAATAGTTTATCATTTAAGGTTTCATATGTTAATAAATCCATAACTACACAAAGCGGTATGCTCGTTTCGTCATTAAATATAGAACTGACAAAGGAGACATCAAGCAGTCAGATAGCAACAATCAGTAAATCCAAAAACTTGTTATATTAGCAAGGTACCGACAAAAAAAGACATCCGTTACTAAAAAAGACCGGCATTGCGTTAAGACATGTAAAATCAAAACCATTCAACCAACCAGCAGTTTTCCAGTATTCCCGACTATCTGGGAATATCATAATAGCTAAAAATAATTAAGCTTTCCCGCTCACTGCTAACTGAAAATTTACGAAACGTCTATCAAGCTTCTAAATACATCATTATGAATAATCACCCATGCTGAAACATGAACTTATTGCGAATGTAATCATGGAAATGCAAGCCAATTATGCTAGGTTTCAGATATTTTAAGCAGGCAATTAGTGAAATATATCCTGAAAAAGATCAATTACACAGCAACGATCGATGGTGAGACAAGAACCTACTGCAAATGCAATCATGGAAACACAAGCCAATTATGTTAAATTTCAGTTATTGTAAGCAAGCAATTAGCCAAATATATCATGAAAAAGATCAATACACAACGACAAGCGACGCTGAGATTAAAAATTACTTCAAGCAAGGAAATTTGAATTCAATAATGCATTAAAAGTTGAAATTTTGACCAGGATTAAAAAAATGACTTTTCAGCTTAGAGTAAAACAAGAACATATCAGAAAAAAATACTTTTCTTTTTTTTTACCTATCCCTGTTACCGAACCTAATTGAGATTCGCAACACGAAAACATGAAACCCTAAATGATAAGATATTAAAAAAATGTACGGGTTAAAATGTAAAAAAAAAAAACAAGAGAAAAGCTGAAATTACCATAATCGGAGCGAGTGCGTTTGCCTACGAAAGGAGGGATTGAGGTGGACGGCGGAGGTTGGCGAGAGTTGCTATACCTCCAATAAGAATTGGCCATGGTTCTAGTCTTTTAGCTTAGATACAATGAAAAGAGTGAGAAAGCACAGATAAGTTTTAAGCAAAAACAAACGTTTAAGAAAAAGAAGTAAACCGCGCCGTATTAAACAACAGTTTCAGAAGAGAAAATATAAATAACTGTGAACCAGGCCAAAGCCAAAATGTAACTGACAAACACCTTTTTGAAGGCAAAACTCGAGTTTTTATAAAAGGTAGTAAACGCTTATCTTTTACTTCACTTTATCTCAATTTCTAAAATAATAATAATAATTTCACACCAATTATGTAAAAGATTATTAAATTAATATTAAAATTACGTAAATTGTTATTAATTTATGTAATAATCTCTGAAATTGCCAAATTACGTAAAAAGATTATCAATTTGCTTAAATTATTATCACTTCTTAATATTTGTCATAATTGCGTTAAAATTTATAATTTACAACCACTTATCAATTGTTATATAATCCTTTTACATAATTATTATACTTTTTATAATTTATTTTCTAAGTAAATACAAGATAATATTTGTTTAAAGATAACTTTCGACCATTTAACATTAAATGTTTATATCATTGACATAATGATACTCGAACATGAGAGTTTCATAAATAACAATAATTCCTTTACTTTTTCTCTTCAAACTAATATTATTTATGATACATAAAGATGAGGTGTAGATAATGACGTTACACACTGTATAAAGGCGGGATGACTAAAGTGGAGGGCTGCTACTAGAGTTTTGTGTAACAAAAAAGTGTCTCTAAAACTTAAAGGAAAATTTTATAGAATGACAATAAGACCAGTGCTGCTGTATGGATCAGAATGTTGGGCAATCAAGAAGGATCACGTAAGGAGGATGGAGGCCGCAGAAATGAGAATGCTTCAATGGGCATGTGGTAGGACTCTGTGGGACATGACATCAAACTCTGCAATTAGGATGTCCTTGGGGGTAATATCTGTATCCAAAAAATTGAAGGAGGGAAGACTACGGTAGTTTGGGCATGTCCTTAGCGACAACCGCTGGATACGGTCAGGAGGGTAGAGTCAATTACAATCGACGGTGCCAGAAGGAGAGGACGACCAAAGAGGAATGAGTAGATTGCTTGAGATCTGATTTGAAGGATTTAGCCTTTACCGAGAACATGACCTCTGATAGGAAAGTATGGAGACTTAAGACCAGGGTAGCCGAGTAGTGTGGGTCACAACCATAGGGTGTAACATCTCTGTTTTCTTTTTAACGCCTTTGTAGTAATTTTCATGACTTTATTTTTTATACGTTTCTGCCATTGGAATTTATGAAGGCTTAGAACTAGGGTATCGTAGTAGTGTTGCCTTAGTTTAGGTTTTTACCCATTTGACTATATTACTTCTCGTAGCTTGCTATCGCTGACTTCTGTGTATCATTCTCTTCATGTTTTCTCCTTTTAAATTTAGTCGGGTCTTACGTTTCTGTCTATATGCAAAGATTTTTACGCAGAGATTGATTTGCAGGGATTACTTCTCATTTAGACGCGCATATGAAGACTGTTCAATTAGGTATTTATTTATATGCATTGTATTTTATCTTTATTTTTAATTTTCTGACTGTCGGAGGTCTTCCACGGAAGCTGCTCTCAACCTGGCGTTGGAGGCAGCCTACTACCCTACCTCCCCTTACCTAATTGTATATGAAAATAGTGTTTTGTTGTTGTTGTTACTTTTTTTCGTTGCAGAAATTATCATACACGATTAAGGCTTAGTTTGTTTTCACTGTGCAACCTCTTCAAACATCTTATGTCTGTGCCGCGCAGACATTAGGCTTCGCAGACCGTTTGTTTTTTAGAAGACAGAAAATCTTCAAACGTCTGCGCGAGCTCTTCTTGGTGCAGACATGATTTTATGTCTTCAAAGGTCTGCATGAAAATTAAAATCATTTAAATCTATTTTAAAATTTATTTTAAAATATATTTATTTATTTTAAAATATGGATTGATTTATTTTAAAATATGGATTGATTTATTTTAAAATATGAAAAAAATTATTTTAAAATATGGATTGATTTATTTTAAAATATGGAAAAAATTTATTTTAAAATATTGATTGATTTATTTTAAAATATGGATTGATTTATTTTAAAATATGGATTGATTTATTTTAAAATATGAAAAAATTTATTTTAAAATATGAATTGATTTATTTTAAAATATGAAAAATTTTATTTTAAAATATGGATTGATTTATTTTAAAATATGGATTGATTTATTTTAAAATATGAATTGATTTATTTTAAAAAAATTATTATTGTAGTTGTATGGATTATTTAAATTTCAGTATTATAAAACTAAAATTATTTAAATTTTAGGATTACAAAACTGTTTTAAGTTTAAAAAATCAGTTTATTTTAGCAGTCTGCAAACGTTAAAAAAAACAGTCTTCTTCTTGCAGACTACAGACTGCAGACTTTTGGTCCACCTCTTCTGCTGTAGATGTCTACAGATGTGGTTCGCAGACTGCAGAGCTTTTACCTCTTCAAAAACAAACACCACCTAAGTGAATAGGCACAAAATAACGTAGTTTTGGCTACATAGATGACATTAAAATATTAAATAAAATCAAAATCATTTTAGTTTAGTTTAGTTTAAATTGTAAATATTAATCACATTAAGATTTAATCAATAAAATATATAAATTTTAAGATTAAAATTATTGTTATATCAAAGATATCATCAAATGGTTATCCCTTGTCTCATATGTAATGATGTAAGGGGGAGATAAGATAATAGGCTATCCCCAACACTAGGTTGAGAGCAGCTTCCGTAGAGACCTCCAAATTATCAAAGATGTCATCGTTTTTGTTAAAAAAAATTAATGGTTGATAACCGAAACAGAAAAATATAATATTAAGGATAATTTAAAAAAATTGGTTGACAAAAATAAAAATACTATAATAAGTGGATGATCCAAGCTGCTTTCAGTTACAAGTCATACTAAATCTTTGAACTATAAGCCTCGGTCAGTGCTGTATCTTTAAACAAAACTTAGTCCCATGACGATGATCTTCCCTTGTTCTATTTTTCTAATAAACTTTTGACTTGTAGCCCTATTTAAACAGCCCCCGACCCAACATGTTTCTTCATATCCTCTCAGTTGCAGAACTGGGAATTTCACCATACAATCTTCTCATGTATGTTTAACTTCACTTATCGGATTGTTTTTTTTAAGTTAAATTTTAATGTGTTTTTATTTTATAGCTAGCTAGCTTCAGTGGACATTAATGGACTGCCGAAATCCCCTTGCTCTTGTCGAGGATCTTCTGTCGAAGAAGTTCATAGTAAAACCTTTGCTTTTCTTTTTTGATTTGATTAACAGGCAAAATCAGGGGAAGCTTATATGTTCCAACATGCAATGAACGTACTGTTGGGTCCCAAATACGGCGGGCAGATAATAACCGGTGCAAGTGCGGTCCTAAATAAAAAATATTTATCCAGCATATTTATATCAATAATATCTTCGTTCCTGTTATACCTTATCCGAAAATCTTTAAATTTATTAGGTAAAACTCGTTGAAATGATCAACTATCCATCCACCAAAATCTTTAGACAAACTTCTCCATCTATTAGAGCCTATGACTAACTTATGTCCCATGGACATATGTTTCTAATCAACTAGAGTACATAGATAAGATCTCTGACAATTCATGTGATACGTCAGACAAAATTCAAAATCTAATTACAATATTTAATTTGTATGTCGACATATTATCAATAGAAAATATAAAATAGGAGCGACTGCAAACCCCTCGGGTCCTCTTTCATTTTATCCATACATCGGTTAATATCCGTTCTCTCACCGATTATAATTCTTTGTCCAAATTAAAAATGTTAATCGTTAACGAAAATGAACCGTAGATTATCGTGATCGACCTTCCTTGAGTATTATTCTTTCTCTTTCTCATGATTACCAACCTTCTTCTATATTTATATATAAGTCAACAATCTTTTTTTTTATCAATTGTGACTTTTTGTCTAAATTAAAAAGAATTAATCATTAACAATTGATGAGTCAAACTTATTATCATCAACAAGTATATATAATTAAACTTTTTATTAATTTAGAATGATTACAATATATTATATTCTAAAGATTCTCAATTATATTTGTAATTACATGTTAATCCGTAATAATATATCAAATAATTGTTGATATAGTGATAATTGGTTATGTTATTTAAATTATAATAGACGGTTATGATAATTATAAGGAAATCATCTCTAACTTTTTATCTAATTAAAATTTTAAACTGAGAAGTAGGAAGACCAAAATTATAGTCTGGGACAAAAGACCACAACGAATGTAAACTTCCTCGAAACAACAGCCTTAACTTCACGCGCCTTCTGTCACGTCTCAGCATCACAAAGGATGTTTAAGCTTGAAGCAAGCAAAGCGGACCTCACCTTCAAACGACAATGGGAACCGACGTATGAGCACATCACGCTCTATATCAGGCGCGTGTGTAACTTCAACTACCGCCACACCCGCTTTATCTTCAATAACAAACAACAGTACCCTCCGTCATCTTGACTCAAAAAATCAAATCAAAATCCTCTTTTTAAAAGACCCAATGTTCTCATTCAATGAATCCAAACTTTCACCCTCGAAAATCAGGTCAATGATGTTAATAAACCCTGTTAATCCTTCTCTGAAAGATTCTTATGTTGAAAATTTCTGATTAACCAGTGAAATATCCCACAAATCCTGTCTTTATCACTCACCCATTTGTTTAATCAAAATCCATGGAATCTTTGTGATCCACTTTGGTTTAATCTTGCACGCAAATACTTCAAATTTTATTTTATCAATCTATTATTGCTGTGTTTTAGGTGAAGATTATAATCTTTTCTGGCTTTTTTCCTTTTTTTTTTACTTGAAATTGGTTTTGTTTCCTTTTGGTTCACTGGTTGTGATTTGGATACTGTATCAGCGTCGAGGGTGTTGAAGCTTGAAAGTTGTTGATCAATGGCGGAATCATTGGGCCCACGACTGTACAGCTGCTCGAATTGTCGAAACCGCGTTTCTCTCCACGATGATATAATTTCCAAGTGTTTCCAGGTTAATTTGTGTTTTCATAAGCTATATTTTTCTTCATATGGTCATTAGAACCTATGTTACGTGGGGGTCGAATATAGATACGGTAATATGCTTGATTAGGAAGGTAATTTGATCCGAATCTTATGAGTTTCAATCTCACTCAACTCGATAATATTGGGTTCTTTTTAATAAAAAAATTGAGTTCTAGTCGAATTTTGTAAAAGGTGAGATTGGATTCTCTGACATGATATCTTTTTGGGTCAGTAGTCGAAAACTCAAGTAACACAACTCATTGCCAGACCTATGCTTGACCCTATCCCATAATAATGTCGTAAATATGTATTTATATCATGTTATTGGAATTTAGGTGTATGTTGAATACAAGCATGCTCCATGTATTAGGAGGTCTTGCAGGGTATCTCCATACCAATGCGAGTTCTGGATACGGATATATTGCAACATCTTATATCAATATGAATTAAATTCGAACATCGTTGAAGTTTAAATTAGTTTCATATATGATCAATGAAAAGGATCTTAGGGGACTTTTGTCCCACATTCTTTTGTTCTTATAGGGAAGAAATGGCCGGGCATTTTTGTTCTCGCACGCAATGAATATAACCGTCGGACCGAAAGAAGACAGGCATCTCTTAACCGGTCTCCACACCGTGGCTGATGTTTACTGTGCTGATTGCCACCAGGTTTTAGGTTGGAAATACGAGCGAGCTTACGAGGCATCACAGAAGTACAAGGAAGGGAAATTCATACTCGAGAAGGCGAAGATAGTAAAGGAGGATTGGTAACACCCCGCACCATTTTAAAGGTTCTGATTCCATTCATTCCTGTGTTTGATGTAATTGTTATCCATGCTCAGACGTTCATCTTGTACCAAAAAAAAAAAAAACTTGTCGCCCCAGTCGGGAATTTGTTATTTGTTTGGAACCTTGCATTCTCAACATTACTAAAAATTCAGGAGGATGCGTTATGGTATTGTTAACTGTTCGTCGAATTTAAATACTTCAATTATCCTTAATCCGGATGGAGCTGGCCGCTTGTTTAATAAATGTCATAAGTTTGAGTACCTTATTAGACTTGTAGAGTAGTAACTTGTCACGGTCTGTCATGTCAATGTTAGGCACATGTGGAACTCCGTCGGAAAGTATTAGTGCATGCATGAATAGGACAGATACAATAAACCATTTGCATTTTTATTTACACCACAGACAGACATCAATGTTAGGCTACTTCATTTGTAGCTTCTTTTTCTTTTGAGAAGAATTGGTTTTCGAAATCATCTCCTTAAGACTCGGCGCAAAGCCGTCTCGGATGTTTCGGAGCTTTGAGCATGGTTTTTAGAATCGAACCGGTTAGTGAACCGGTCATGCTATTGGTTCACTGATTCAACTGGTCGAACCAGTTCGATCGGTCAAAAGAACCGGACGACGTCATAATTATTTAAAAAATTAAATAAAAATACCAAAAATATTTAATAAAAAATAATTTTGTATATCACAAATCATATTCAAAATAAGTCATAACATATATGAGTTAAAAACCATAAAATCAAGTGAAACAAAATGATTCAAATTAACTACAACATAATATTTAAGATAAAACATATTAAATAATAAATATAATTATATAATTATAATTAAAAAATAAATTTGGGGCTAGAAGAACATCCCAAAAGTCTAAAGAGTAAAAATATGAGAACAAAAAATCCACATGGCTAAGAAACATAGAAGAGCATCCCAACTAACTTCTATAAATAATAGAGGTAATTTGACATTCAAAATCATTGAGCCTTTTGGTGAGCATAGAGTAAAATATTCTTTCACTTCAATCAAACTCGAATTTTAGGCTTCAATCGAGCTTTTAAATTTTTTTTGAGTTCAAGCCTTTTCGAGTTCAAGTTTCAATATTATATTTCGAGTTCGAGTTGAACTTAATAATTTTTAGTTCGTGAGTTTGAGTCGAGTTGAGCTTACTTTTAAAGTTTGAGTCGAGCTCAGCAATACTCGAGTTCGACTTGGCTCGTTTAACAAACGACGTCGTTTGGTTTAATTTAAAAAAATAGCGGTTTTTTCCGGTTTTCAACCGGTCCGGTTCGAACGGTTCAACGATTCTGGTCGATTCACTAATAGCGGTTAAACCGGTTTAGTTTGAACCAGACTAGGCAACGGTTCCCGGTTGAACTGGCTAGTCCGATCCGATTTTCAAAAAATGGCTTTAAGCGAAGTTGAAAAAATAAATCTTTATAAAACAAAAATATATTCTATTACTGTAAATAATTAATTTAATATTGCATTAATAAATTTTAGAAAAATGATGAAATTAAAGGCTTAAACTAGTAAAAGTAAAAAAGTAGGGTTGGAAAAATTAGAGTCATTAATTATAAAGATAAAAGTAAGATTGAAAAAAATTAGGAATCTCAATTATAAAGGTAAAAAGTGAGATTGAAAAAAATTAGAGGCTTCAATTATAAAATAAAAAAGTAGAATTGAAAAAAAATAAGAACCTCAATTACAAATGTAAAAAAGTGAGACTAAAAAAAATAAAAACCTTAAGGTCGTGGGATCGAGTCTCACGAAGATATTACTTTTAAGCTTTATAATTTTTTTTTGATGTGAGATTAATGTATTTTACCTTTCCATGACGTAACATTTTCTTTCATCTTAATCTCCTAATGTTTTAATCACGAACCATTTTCACAGTTATTCATCATATATACCTCATCTAAGTGTTAAAAGTAAAAATAAGAGTTACGAAGGATCTAAGAAAACTATGCCTAATGCATTCTAACCTTCTAAGGTCTAATGACTCTTTAAACCCTTATAAATTTGAATACTAATCAATTTAATCTTTATATCCCTGCTCTTAATACATATTTTAGTTTCATATCTAATACCATTTATTACATTCGTAATATTGTATTTCTTTTTATAAAATATACAAACAATCTCCTGATTATAGAGTGTTTTTTATTAAGTCCTCCGATTATTAACAGTTATAAAATGGTCCTCTAATTATATGATGTTGCTTTGTTGAGTCATTTGACTATTAAAAGTTATAAAATGATAACTCGACTATTCATATGTTCTAAACTCATTATTTTTCGATAAAAAAAATATTAACATTCTTATTGATTTATAATAGTCGTTTGAGATTTTATGATCAAATTTTAGCATATCTCAGTAAACAAATTAACATCTAGCTCAAACAATCACCGATTTTTTAATGAAAAATGATTAGTTTGAAATATATGGATAGTTGGGTGATGATTTTATAACTTTTAATAGTCGAATGACTCAACAAAGAAATATCATATTTTGAATAAATTATTTTATAACTTTTAATATCATAAAATTTAACAAAATAATATCGTATAATCAAAGGATTATCATTATTTTTCGTCACACATCCTTAAAAATCGCTTATTATTTTTGTCACGAAACATGGCTTTATCGTTCCACTAATTGCCCAGAAGTGATAGATAATATCTTATCCTATACATAAATTTAACAATTATAAAATTTAATTTTAAAAATATAATTTAAAATAACTAAAAAAATGTCAGCATCCCAAAAAAATCAATAACTCAAAATTATTTAACTGCTGTCTAAATATTAACTCAACTGTATCACGAATAAACATCCGATCAAAGATTTGTTCTTTTCTGCTTAATCTTCACAAAAACTGTTTTGTCTCATCATTTTCTCCCGCGTATGAACTCCTTTATTTTTCAATTCTTTTATGTTGAATATAATTGCCTACGTGCACACATAAAAAATCAAAAGTAGAGTGACTTTTATTGCAAAAGTAAATTATAATTAAAATTGTATTTTAATATTTTTTTATATTTTTAAACAATTAATTTTAAAAGTTAATAAATTTTTAAAAATATATGAAATTTATAATTTTTTAAATTATAAAATATTTATTATCATCATTATCATTTTATAAAAGAAATACTAATTATAAAATTTTTATAAAATTATTCATATTTTAAAATACTTACTCTCAAAGTTTTCTTTTAATAGATTATACGTATTGTGTAATTTCATGCAAAAATCAAAATTTATCGAGTTATAAAATAATTTTTAAAAGAATATATAAAGATTTTAATATAGAAAGTTTTTTTCACACATAAAAATAAATAAATAAAATTGACGTTTTTACACAAAGAATGTTAAATCAAGAAATAAAATCTAAACTGTGTCTGACAGGAAAAAAACTTTTAAGGGTATTTTTTTTAAAATCGCCATGCTGATGGGGTTGGTTATTTGGCTTTATATTAGTATTATATAATTATTTAAATTTTAGGTTTATATAAAAATTAGTCTCGTTAAATTACATAATATTATTTTAAATGATTTTTTAAAACAAAAATTTAATTAAAACAACATTTCACATAAAAAAACTTATTTAATTATTACCTATCTTGATAGACATCAATCACTATATGAACTTAAATTTATTTTCGTTTGAAACATATATGTTTTAAATTTTACCGAAATCCATCTATTTTAATTAGTAAATTTAAAATTCATTTAAATTTATATGTGTTAATTTTATTCAATATAGACTAGTTTTATATATTTAATATTATCGGAGTCAATTATGTACAAATATAGTTATAAATATAATAAACATATACATATAATTAAGATTAAAATCAATCATCACATTACGCAAAAAAATTGTATTATTAATAGTAATATATTCGTGAATCCATCAAACAATTTCAACGTAAAAGAAATTTTTTTTTAAAATTTTAAGCTCAAATAATTGTATTTAAAGGATAAAAACATTATCAATAATTAATTTTAACAAAATATTATATTATAATCTGTCAGATTAATAAAAAAATATTATATATATATATAAATAATTATATTTAAACATTTCTCGTTTTCGAGATTAAATTTATTTCTTATACATTTTTAAGCTAATATTTTATCCACCGTATTGAGTTTACGATTAATAATCCCACTAATTGTAAAAATAAAGTCAGAACTACAGGACGATTCGTTTCACGTACCAGCGCGCAGTTGTTGCTTGTTGTTTCTCCTAAAAACCTCCAAGTTCTTCCCAGTCTTAACCAAGTCTCTTCATTTTCAATCCACAGCGACATTTGTTTGTCTACTGGAAACCTTTTTTCAATGGAAGACAATTCCCATTTCAAGGGTCTGAAGAGGCGGTTGGCCTTTGACGACGAAGATTCCGACGTCGCACTCCAGCGTTTCAAAGTTCTGTTACCCAACGGGACTAGCGTTGGTTTGACGTTGAAAGACGACCTAGAGAATGAAATATCATTTCAGGGTTTCATTGACTTGATCAGGGACGCTTACGATGTGGAGAAACGACAATCTGGGTCGTTTAAAAGGAAAAAGATGATAAACTGGAGGAGTGAAAGGCTGTATCTTGAGGATATAAACGGCTTGAAAATAAGTAGACGGATCGATTTGCGGCGTTTTAAACACCATAAGTGTCACATTTTAAAACTTCATGTGAGTGTTTTAAGTTGCAAATTTGTTTATGTTATGCCCCTTTTGGTTGGCTAATAAAAAAAAGAAAGAGAAACTCTTCAAAGACATGAAAGAACTGGAATGTGTTTTTATTTGCTTGTCACTTACTTTCTGTTGGTTTGATGTTCAGGATGGTTCTGAAGATGTGACCAATACTTTTGAGGTAATGAATTTTCTCCTTTCCATTTTGGGGGCATTGTTGTTCGAATGATCTACTCTGCTGAGAAACCATGGTTTTTTTTTTGATGAATTTGTTGGTTTTCAGAATGTGTGGGATTTGACTCCAGATACAGATTTGTTAATGGAGCTACCGGAAGAATACACTTTTGAAACTGCTCTTGCAGATTTGATTGTAAGTTCAATCATGTTTCTTTGATTCCGGATTTTCTTTTATCCTTCGATGTGTTAGTCGGTGCTTACCCTTTTCTACCTGTTTAACAGGACAATTCCTTGCAAGCAGTTTGGTTGAATCGTGAAAACCATAGGAGACTGATAAGGTCTGAAATTACATGTGTCATTTGATGGTTTATTTTATAATGGCAATTTCACTGCTTTAAGCTTATTGAATTTAGTTTATATCTCTGTTTTTTTCCTTTTCTCTTGGCTTGAATTTATTCTTTTTATGGAATATAGTTTTCTTTCGAACAGTGAGTTGGAGGCGTAACGAACGAAAGTTTTGAATTGCAATGTTCCTGTACGAGATTATTGATCATGCCGACGGCATGAGGCTTAGAGTTTATGCCAGATTTTCCTAGTGACCTCTCTGTGTTTCTTAAATATATTATATTTTAGCCTCTTTATGTATATTGTGCGCATGCTGTATTGCTTTTCCTATATCATGCTTCATATGGCTATCTTAATATTGTTGCAGTGTGGATGTTCTTGAGAATAGAATCTCAATATTTGACACTGGGCCTGGAATGAACAACAGTGATGAAAACTCTATTGTAAAGTGGTATGATTTTACCATTTCTTTTTCTTTCTTTATATCTATGTTTATTTTGTTTTAATTCTTGCTTTGAGACTTTGGTTAACTTTTCTTCCGTTGTTGGGTAAGAAATTTATAATTTATTCAATCGTAATTTAAATGTCATTCTGCTTTGTTCAAAGTTCAAACATAAGTGAGAAATATTTTGGAAGAAATTTTTTTCTGTATTCTTCTCCTGGTTGTGTTTCTTAATTATAATTTTTCTTTAGAGCTAACGAATTCAAGTTTATTCTACTTGTTTTATTCAGGGGAAAGATGGGTGCCTCTCTAAACAGGTTATATAAAATAAAGGCAATAGGGTGCAGACCTCCATTCTTAGTGGTAAAACTCTGAAATTATCTTTTATTTCTTTTGATCAGACAAGTTAGTATCTGTCTGAAATTGATGTAACCGCAGTTTGCCTTTAACTTTGCTAACAAAGATTCCAATATGACTTAGAAGCTCTTTATATCATTGATGGATTTGTTAGTTTTATGTTATTTTTTGGCTTTCATAACAATGCAGCCCTTTTTTGGCATGTTTGGATATGGAGGACCTGTTGCATCTATGCATCTAGGGAGGTATGGCCTTTTGGACAAATTGTACATGCCTGTCACTCCGTTTTATGCTGATTTTTGTTTTTCTGTTTTTTTTATCTTCATTTAGCTGTGTTATAGTTTCGTCCAAGACAAAAGAATCCAAGAAGGTTTATAAGTTAAGTCCTGCACGAGATGTTTTACTCAGCAAATCTGGTTCTGGACGTAGTTGGAGGGTATGAAAGTTCTCTTAGTATTGATTTCCCTATAGAATAAGTTTTTTTATCGAATTCTTTTTGTTATATTTAACTTTCTCATATGTTTGTTGCATTATGTCATCAAAACCTTTTTACATTAGACTGAGGCGGCATTAGGGATCCTTCAGATGATGAAATTGTGAAATCACCCCATCGGAGCTTTACAAAGGTTTACTTTTCTGTACATCCCCTTTAATCTTCATATATTTTTGTTTTATAGGTTAGATCCTGCATTTTATTTGTGCATAGGTGTAATTTTAGCCATTTTAGCTAGGTGAGGTGTTCATATTTTATTGTCTCAATTCGTGTATTGATAGTTTGATTATTACAGGTGGAGATACTAAGGCCTAAAGTGAAAAACTTGGACATATCTAAGCTCCAATGTAAGCTGAAGGACATATACTTTCCATATATTCAGGTGTGACTTTATTCTGAACTTTACGACTTCAAATCATGCTAGATTTGTAATTACCTCTCATGCAACAATTTGTTGACCTGCAGTGCGATGAGTTGTCCGAGGGTGGTAAGACTGTTATGCCTGTTGAGTTCCAGGTTTTGGTCATCTTTGAGTAACTCCAACATATTAATTTTGACACAGCCTTTGCAGTTACTCCTAATTTTAGAGTTGTTCGTGAACTTACCGTAAAATGTTTGGGGAGTATTAAAGGATATTGATGCTTTTCAGGTTAATGGTGTTGATTTAGCTGAAATCCAAGGCGGCGAAGTTGCAATCACCAACTTGCATTCTTGCAATGGTTCTGAATTTACTGTATCACTGCGCTTTTCCCTTAAAAAGGAGAATTCTTCATCCAATGCTTCAGGTAGTTATAATTCTTGCTGAAAATCAAGAGAAATTTGGAAGTTGGAAGAAAATAAAGAAGGCGAAAAACAGTTAAAAAAGGGGGCTGTTTGCTGTGAGAAAGAGAGGAAGAAGGGAGTAAGAAAAGAAAAAAAGTTATGAAAATTCAGCTTGATTATCTCTCAAGCATTAATAGGCTTTTATACTAATAGTTAACTATACAAAATAAGGAAAGACCAAGATAACATTAAACATTTACAGTATAAATCTCTGATATTATGCTAAATCAAATTCTAAGATTAATGTATATCACAGAACTTGCTATTTTACTGCTTTTATCGATGGCATTCTTGCTGCCGTTGAACAGCAACAAATTTGCCAGTGTTAAGTTTCTGATGTTTTATATTTTCCAGTTCTAAGGCTCCTCATATGGCAAATGCACGCCTCAAGTGTATTTATTTTCCCACCCGTCAGGTACATGATTTATTTATTTATTTATTTTAGTATATAAGCTCTTTGGAAGTATTTTGAATACGTTTTACAGGGGAAGGAGATTATTGAGAGGATTTTGGATAATTTGGAAGCTGAAGGATGTGGCGTTAGAGAAAACTTTGAGAACTATAGTCGTGTCTCAATTCGTCGACTTGGACGTCTACTTCCAGATGCTCGTTGGGTTAGTTGCTTATCAAGCTTGTGAACTTAAAGTCTATTTTTTTCATATACTTATATGGTAATTTTGGTATTTCCATTTTAAAGAATCCTTCACGAGCATATACTAATTTACGCTTCTATAAATGTTTAAATTCATATGCTTTGGTGCTTCTTTGTGTTGTGCTGCTTGGTTAAGAAAGTCACAAAAATTAATATGTAATGCATTTGCTTAATACAGGCATTACTTCCTTTTATGGATTTGAGGCATAGAAAGGGAGAAAACTCTCAGTTGTTGAAAAGATGTTGCTTGAGAGTTAAATGCTTTGTTGGTCAAGTGCACTAAATTCAAGAAAAAGTGCTTTATATGCATGCTTGTAATGTTTCTTTTCTCTCTCTATTATCATTATTCTTCAAGCAAGCACTTTTTCATTGCAGATACTGATACTGGATTCAATCCAATGCCTTCAAAGTAAACAACTTTGCCTCCCTTATATTTTTATTCACTAGCATGGTTCCTGAATTTTGCATTGCTTGCTGTTATGTTGATTTCTACTGTTTGTTGGAAGTCACCAACTGTTTTGCTTTCAGGTTGTTGGAGAAAGTGTCATGAATTATTGATATGATTCCTTGATTCCTGCCTTTTCTACATGGGAATTACCGCTCTTATATGGGTTTGTGTATGTGAATGTATGGTACGGTTTCTTATGTGGTGAGAATTACTATATCAAGTAATTGACCGTGCAATTCTGTATCGGTTACAGCAATAATGGAAGATGTTGTATATAAGTTGTATGATTCCTTTATTGCTCTGAGAACCTTTTCAGTTATTTTTTGTCCTTGGAACTTGTTATTGTGAAGTGTTTGAGTTAAAATTTATTTCACCACCTGTTATCTGATTATCCTCTTATTGAATTAGTAGAGGAAATGCTTAGTTGCAGCAAGCAGTTCCCCTGATTGCTGCTCAAAGAAAAAAAAATACGCTAGCAAAGAATGCCGAGTTAATACATATGCTTTTAAATATATGGGCAAACCAACATTCATACAGTATTTTTTCCCAGACTGATTTGGCGCACCATAATCCTTTCTCCATTGCTCTTAAGAACTTTGGTAGTAGGCCTCAGGACAAAGAAAAAGGTGAACTTTGTTTTTGGTTTTCCTTCACGTCAAATGTGAGAATTTCACTTCGTAAACGATCCTTATTAATCAGTTATTCTTGAATCTATAGATGTCAATGTTGACATTCATAGAGATGGAAAACAGATGACATATATGCAACTGGAAAGGGAGTACCTGGATTGGCTTCTTCAAATGCATCGCATGTATGATGAAGAAATCGACTGTGGTGAGGATCAACCTATTATTGTTGTCAGTCCCTTGAACAAGAAGGCACTAGGAATATCATCTGAAGGTAAGTATTATCTTTTAAGCAGTTTGATGTACAAATGCATGTTTGATTATCTGTTACCTCTTAATTTGGTTTGCTGGCATTTTCTTTCCATCCTGTTTTAACTGGCATTACCTATATTATATATACTATTGCTTCTTTTTAACTTGCAGTGGTAAGAGTTCATCAAATTCTGAAGAGAAAGGGACTATTGTGGAAAAGTGGCCAGAAAATCAAAGTTCTCAAGGGTGCATGCACCAAGTGTCATAAGAATAATGTTTATGCAACGATAGAACATTTCTTGCTTGAAGGGTTTCAGGGGGATTCTGGTGGTAATATTTTATTACAGATAAGAAGTTTGATATACCTTTATTGTACTTTACACATTGAAATATTCTTTTGATTGATTTAATGCTTCATTTTTCTGTTTTCTATAGGAGAAGCTCGGATTATATGCAGGTAACCATGGTGCTTTTCCTTTTAAGTTTCTTGTAGTTTTGTTTTTTTTAATATCTAATACCTTATTGTTTACTAATGTATATGTCCATTTCTGTACGGAAGGCCACTAGGTATAGAAAATGGCTGCAAGCTTTCTATAAAGGGTGGAACTCCCAATTTGGATATTCAGGACTCATTATCACTTCCAATTAGCGTGATTGATTCTGGGATGGTTAGCTTTTATTGTAAATCATTATAATAATATGAAACCTGTTTGCAACTGTTTCATATTGTTGAGTAACATGCTGGATTCTGAGCCATTTGCAGTGCATGCCCATTGATGATTCTAATTGGGAGCTCCAACTTAGGAAACAAATTCAGAAGACTCCCTCAAGAATTGAATTGCTGAATGCGAAACAGTGTCATCAGTTGGAGGTTGATTGGGTCAGTTGATATTCAACAGTGATAGTTGCCTAATCTTTTGTTTATCTGTTGCACTATGGTTTTTGGCATTTTTGTAACAGAATCTTTATCCTTTAAGATTGCAAATGTTAATAACAAGTATCATCATTTTATGTCAAAACAATTGGTTATATTCTCCTTCCTGATTCTCAGTTCAAGCATCTTCAATATGCCTTATTTTGATTGTCCTGATTTCCTGTATTAGGCATTGCCGACCGATCTTCCAACACATGCTGGACAAACCCCTCCAAAGGTCATTGTGGCTGTTTTTCGTCCAAGTAGTTTCACATTTTCTCTTGCTTCAAATTACTTGGACCAGAAGGACATTGTGAAGGTTAATTTGGAGATGTCAATGGAAGTCACATTTAGAAGAACCAAGAACCATCAAGATGTTGAACTCATTTACGCTGTTCGCATTGCACCTTCATCACCTTCATCCTTCAAAGGGTTTCATGGCTTGTATATGTTCCCACTCGGGGTGAAGTTCCCTCACTTATTTCAGAAAGCAGGTGCATATACATTTTCATTCTCCGCTGTGAGTAACTCAGAGACCTCTTTTATATCTTTTTCCTACTTTGAGTTTATACATTGTCATACTTTTTCAAGTTTCTTCTGGTCGTGAAATCTAATTGAAGTTCACATTAACTAGGAACATTCGGGTTTTCCGAATTACAAACAAACGATTATGGTTGTGCCTTCAGAAAAGGTTGGAAAGTGGGAGCTTCTTCATGATGAGAAGTTTCCATCTTATTCTGTAAGGTAGGGAATCTTGAGGAAATAATTTCTAGATTTGGGTGTTCATTGAATTCCTAGGAAAATGAAGTGTATATATATATCAACAAATTTTCCTTTTTAGAACTACATTCTAAATCTATGTTTGGGTGTTCATTTACTTCCTTGGAAAATGAAGTATATATATCAATAAATTTTCCTTTTTAGAACTACATTCTAGAAGTTTGAAATGGGATCATGTTTTCCACTCCTCTCTAAATCTATGTTCTTCGGGCAGGGTCGGTTCATGTTTTCCACCCTTATCTATTGCATGCTATGACGTCTATGACAACCAAATGTCATTTACCTCCTTTCCTAGCTTAAAGATCAAGCTCATCATGAATGAAGATTTGTGTATTGATGTGGTCAAGATGAAGCCTTCCCTTTCATCTGATAATTCGGTCTTTATTATTAAGGTATGTTCTTCCATAAGTCTTTTTGCCCAAGTAATTTTGTGATCATTTGTTCTCTTTCTTGGTTTTTCCTAATGCTGCAGGATGTTGTGATTGAAAGTAATGAGTTGGACTCAATCCGGCCAAATTATGCAGCCACCTTGATGATATATATTCAAGATGAGTCGAGATCAGTTTCTGTGGAATGTCATGGTACTCAGCTCTAACATTACTCTGCATGTAAAAGCTTTATAACAGAAATGAATTGAATCATTTCTTTTGTACTGACATGTTTTTTTGCGTGTGGCACATTAGTTACTCCTGGAGATCTACACTCTATCAAAGTCTGTTCACAACTTCCCCGAAAGCAATTACTCCCAGGTTTTGTAGTAGAGTTTTTTCTAGGTGAAACTTCTATCATTTTAATGCCCTATCTTTGTTTCAATGACTTGTTTGGTTCTATACATAGAGCAAGACCCTCCTTTCTTATAATCTTTTTCTCTGGTTGGAATTGAAATAATAGCACACGGGGGCACGGGGCATAAGAATTGTAATCTGAAACGGTAGATTGGATATGTGATCTTCATGTTATTAAACAGTAGTGTATTTTTGGTAGGTGTTCGATGTGTACAGAAATCATGTTGAAGAAGGCTTGGAAGTTGAATTCCAGTTGGATGGTTTTAGCATCCAAGGTCAAATAGGCTCGAGGTTTAAGGTTCAATCTTCAAACTAATCTGTGTTAATGCTCTATGGAAAATAAAAAATTCCATACTAATTTATACTGCTTGTTCAATATTTTTGATGAAAACTAATAACAGTTCTCTCAAAAATTCTAGGTGGATAACCATGGATGCATTGACCTAGGGGGGCTATTGAAAGTAACCACATGTTATGCAAAGCAATATATACCTTCATGATTAGCGGTTGGGGTGAGATTGGTTTGGTTCGGATTGATTCGGTTCTTCGGGATAAGGATACTTTCGAAATTCATACTTGTAAACACACCAGTTGGAACATTAAGTATAAATTGCTGAACTATAAGTCTTAATCCTTCTAGCGATTTTTCCTGCATGTCTTGCCCCTGCAGCTTGTCTCTCTGTTTTACACTATGATGAAGTAATTTTCAAGCAAAATTTTCAAACTGAGAAAAGGGAGCTCAGAATATCATCAAGTGTCAGTAAATTATTCACTCCTTTTTCATCTTTATCGTCACCAATATTTCCCTCAACTTCACTCTTTACCATAATGTTTTCTCAGGTACCGGAGCAATGCATTGCTGGTTCCTCACTGGAAAATATAGGTTTTGAAGTTGTAGACTCCAATGGGGATGTTGATAAAACATTTCATGATGATGAAAAGTGTGGCCAATTCCATACGCTCGTAGTTAAGTCAGAATCATTTGAAGTAGATGATTCTATACGCTACGTGTTCAAGCATGGCCGCTGCAACATCACTTCTTTTCCCCTTCCTCAAATTGAAGGGCCCCTTTGCTTCAAAGCTTTTCATTCTCGTTACTCTCAGCTATATTGCGATGTTAAGGTAAGGAAAATCTTGTTTCTATTTTGTGATTAACAGTTCCACAGCATATTGCTGATTTCAATCCGCAGATTTGTCTTGTACATGCTCCGATAGTCAATAACAGCGAGGTTGAGGTCCACACTTCAGATGGAAAGGTCTTATTCCTGCAGAACTAACCATTTGTCAAGAATGAAAGAGTAACACATTGCTGATTTTATTCTAAATTGCTGATTTAAATCTACAGATTTCTCCTCATGCTCCAAAAGTCGAGAACAGTGAGGTCGAGTCGCACACTTCCGGTGGAAAGGTCTTATTCCTGCAGAACTCACCATTTGTCAATAATGACAATGTAGGAAACCTACTGTCCATAGTGAAATATGACAAAGTAAGGGAACCTGTTCTAATTGTGTGTATTCACTCAATGAAACTGTAGTTTAATTCTCGAAGTGGACTGCTTCTTGAACAGGAACTAGAGAGTGAAGTGCTCAAATATGCTGAGCTCAGGGTTTTAAATAGCGTTGCGGTCACGTTTTCGGTCGCGTCGCGTTTATCGCGGTTGCGGACATAACGTATGCCATCGCGGTCACTGAGGGTGTTGCGGTCGTGAATTTTTTTAAATTTTACACAACTAATCTTAAAACATGATTATTGGCCTAATTTTGCTTTGTTTTGGTGGTTATATATTCTCTAAAATAATCAATGTTTAATTCATTTTATTATTTTTGTTATGATACAAGGTAAATACATTATGTTGCAAGACATGAACCAAATTTGAGTGTTTGTTCAGTGTTAGGAGCACGTCGTAATACCCTTGAAGACCCAAGTGTGATCCCTTCCGGCTATTTTTTTGGATTCAATTTGTTTTCCATACATTAGAAGGTCTTTAGCTAAAAACAAAATATATAAAATGTTGTAAACTATTACCAAGTGGACTTAGCCCAGTAGTTTAGGTGTGCTTCTTAAGGGAGCTCTAGGTTGTTGGCTTAATTGCCCATGTTAAGGGTGTTTAAATTCAGGTACTTACATTTTAGGTATTCGAGACTTTCGAGTCTTGGCCCGTAAGAGGCGGGTATTTATAAACCTGGTTACACGTATTTATATTATTTTTTTAAAAATCCACATAAGAACTAATAAAAAAATCACATAAAAAATATAAAATATAAAATTATAAGTTTATAATACATAATATTTTTTTTGACAAATGAAATGGCCAGCTCTTTATTGAAACTAAAAAATAAAATGATAAAAGTCCATGTGCACCACACTAACTACATCCATTAAAGCAACAAAGTGGGAGACAACTGTTAACATACTACTCGAAAAAATATAAAACTCATCTTAAAACCGTTTGAATGAACATTCTAGAAAACTAAAAGAAGAAAACTCTGTTGGCCCTTCTTTCTCTTCAAACCAGAATCAGATTTTGTTTTTTTTTCTTTTCTTTTGGATAAACGAATTGATATTGTTAGTTAAAACGTGAAGAATGTACAAGGAGTGCCCACACCCAGATGAGAAGCAAAAATTACAGTTGAGTAGGAAGCTGGGACTGGAACCCAGACAGATCAAGTTTTGATTTCAAAACAGAAGGATCCAGATGAAGGTGTGTTCAACAGTGACTTTTTCTCTTTTTCTATTTCTTCTCCTTCCTTCCTTCATCTTCCATAACAATTGCAGCAAAGTCCGTTAAGATCAGCAGTGGGTTTTTCTTAAGATATGGCAAATACGGTTGAATAACGGTGATTGCGTCCTGTTATCGGCGCAATCGTCCGTTCCCGTTTAGTTACGGACGCAATCGACCGCTATCAGTGTGAATCGTGACCCACCGCAAAAACTATGAATAATGGTTTCGGACGGTGGCGCGACCGCAATATTGCGGCCGTAATATCGTTTTCGGAACGCTATTTGATACCCTGGCTGAGCGTGTGGGACATAGGGAAAATTTTATGAGAGGTCTTAATTGTTGGAAGACAGGCATCGAGCACGATATTTCTAGGTTGCAAGGTTGTTTTTCTCGTTTAAATCGATTATTTTTAATAATAAACATGGCTTGTTTATAATTCTTGTTTATCCTCGTAAACTTGTTATGTTAAAAAAGACGAAAGCAGTTCTTTATCTTCATCTTTTTGCAGCTTCTCCGGAACCCGATTTAGCAAACAATCTGGATTGCTTGTCAACAAAAGAACTAATGAAACTGATCCAGGGAAGAGGTCGTACTGCAGCTGCTGTTGTCTGCAGTCTTGCTCAAGGACCACCGATGAATATCACGGAAGATGTAGTAGGCGTGGTAGCACTACTTGGAACAGTTTGCTCTGTTCAACTTAGCAGGTTGTCTTTGCTTTATTTTTAAAGATGTCACTGCGAGACATAATGAAAATATTACATGTTCTGTAACTTCATCTCCGATAATTTTCCCGATATCTCTGTTGTAGGATTTTATCCGAGTACTTGGGCGAAGATCAAATGTTTGCGGTTGTATGCAAATCCTATTATTCAGCGGATGTTCATGCTCTTGAGCAGCATGGGCATAATGGTGAAGTTGATTCTAGGTTCGGTCTTCATGCAAAAGCTACCGCTCTTGGTAAATCTTTAAGTGGCAGATTTCTTGTTGTCTGCCTCTAGGATATAAGGTACCGTATGCATGATACTTATTGGTTTCGAAACGTTAACGAAGATCACTACAACTATTCTTATAGACATTAAAGAACAAATCTTCAAGAATTGAATATAACTATTCTATGTAATGTTCAATCATGCAGGCCTTATCCGGGAGGGGTTGAATTCAATGACCCTCAAAAGAAGTTAGTCTTACTAGATCCTAGCTTATCATTTGGACACTGTCCTCCGGGGTTTATCGGCTATGCAGTTAACATGATTAACCTAGATAATTCTACCTACAGAATTGATTCCGGCCACGGCTTGTGTGAGACTCTTTTTACAGACTTTTTGGTAAGGTTAAGTATACGATACGAGGAAACATATGGAAAAGGCTCGTAATTGCATAAAACATGGTGCTGTGTCTCTGGATGGAGGGATTCTGAGAAAGAATGGACTTATATCTCTTGGATTCAGGTACTTAATACTCTCTCGCTAGCTATGCATATGCGCTTAGTTATCTGCTTCATGTCTAATTTCTCAAGTTGTTGCCTTCTTGGAATCCGGAAATATATTTTCCAGTCGAGAACAGGAACGTGTCTCCTCAAAGCAAGAAAATCATGGATCAAATCAAGGAAAAACAAATTGAACTAACAACCACCTTGCAACATATAGAGAAATCAAATGAAAAGCTTAAGAGAGACCTCCTAGGCACAACAAGAAAAAAACCAAGTTCCAGAAGTACATGGATAATACCGATGATGCGATCAACGATATCGTAACTATGAGCCCACTGCAATACACCCAAGAGCTCGGAACTCCCTCCCAATCAACTCCGAGGTATATGTGCCCACTGCAATACACCCAAGAGCTCGGAACTCCCTCCCAATCGACTCCGAGGTGACTATATTTCTAATCGACTGCTCTTTATTCGCTCGATAGTTCTATAAAGATAATATACACAGGTTAATTCTCGATAGTTTCATGTTCATATATGATCAAGCTATTTGCAAAATCTGTTGAAATGATGGGATCTTCTCTTACAGCTGAAACATTAGCCTTTTTTATTACCAAGATGTATATTTTATCATATTAAATGATCTAATTCAATCACAGTTGATGGAAATGCAGATTCTTTTAGTTGTTTGCCACATTTGATCGTTTTGATGAAATTGTTGACGTAAACTGCTGTAAAATTGAGTGGAGAAAGTGTTTTCCGGCAACTTAAATCATCGGAGAGTTGTCTCGGAATATTTTATCAGGTCGAGTCGAGAATATTTTATCTTAAATTTAACTTCATCCCAACGACTCTTAATCTATTTTTAATTTTAAATTAATAAGTTAATAATTAAATCCTTACTATCACTTTGTTTATAATATATCACTATCCATTAACACAAATGTATATTAAATAGTTCGGCTATTAATATAGTTTAGCAAATATTCACAAAATATGACAATATATTTCTTTATAAAAAAAATTATTTGTAAAAAATAGGAATAGACACTATGCGAAATGGGATAAGATTTATCTTTTAGCTATTATAATTTTTCATTCGTTTTCCATATAAATATTAAAATATTTTTTCGTTTTCCATTCATCTTAATATTTTATAATATTTTATTTATTTTGAATTTTGAAATAAAAATTAATTATCGATTTGACTTAACAAAATAATAATAATTTTTATTTTTATTTCATAAAAAACAATTATATATATGAAAAATATTATAGTAATTATTGTTAATATAATTAGAAAATATGATAATTATTTTGGATCGGATCAAGAATTTTCTTACCCTATACTTATAACTAAAGGTGAACATAAAATCGAGTCGAGTTGATTCAAAAATTTTGAGCTATTCGAGTTGATGAGTTATATTTTGTGACTCGAATTTAATTTGAAATTTTTTCAAGTCAATTTTAAGAAATTTGAGTCGAATTATTCGAGTTTCTATACAATTTTATTATAATTATTTATAGTATTTATGATAAGGATTGATTCTAATTTTTTAATTTTCTCTAATCAAATAAGATATATGTATTTTTTTCATATTCTTTAAACAATATAATGTTATTTAATATATCAAATACAATATAAAATTATAAAATATATTTACAATATTATATTTTAAAGAATATATTTTGAGGGTAAAGTATTGATGAGAGTTTAAAAGAGTCAAGAAATTGATGGGAAGAAAAAATTTCCAAACAACTGCAATCAAAAGAACAAATTGAGTAAAATATAAAGTTAAGAGACTAAACGAAAAAAGAGAGTATATTTTTAATAAAAAAAAATAAGAATTGAAGTTGCATAGGTATTCTATAGTAGTATAAGTGCATGTGATTCAAATTTGGTAAAATTGACTTAAAAAGAAGTGTGAATTGAATAAATAAAGAAATCATGAAAAGTTGAGGGATTAAATTGAAAAATAAAAAATTGTTATCAAAAGAGGAATTGAAAGCACATTGGTATTCTATGATGGTTTAGGAGCATGTGATTTAAATTTAGTAAAAAAAACGAACTTAAAATGAATGATGAATTGAATGAATAAGAAAATCAGGGACTAAATCGTAAAACTATCAAAATAGTCAGCCAAATTTTTTATTTTTCGAGTAACTTGAGATTTCCAAATTCTAACTTTACTTGAACTCAAAAATCGAACATATAATTTGAGTTGACTCGAATAACTCGACTTGAATAACTCAAAATTAAAAAAAAAATTGATTTTTCAAGTCGAGTAGGATTTTGCTCACCCCTACCTATAACGATATGACTCTTTTTTACACGAAAATCATCTTGATCCACCTCAAATTTGAATTGTAAAAAATAATTTTATAAAATCAAATCAAATTAAAACTCATCAAACTTAAATAGTTTAACTATGAATAAATTAACGGTAATTTTATGAGAATGATACTCATTTCTAATATAATTAAAGAATAGCATCCCAAATGAATTTATATAGAGAAAATGATACTCATATCAACTATGTAAGATAAAAAAAGTGACTAACTAAACACGTTTTATCGAAAATACTCTTAATTAAATACACCCTTTATTTACGTAATTGAAAATAAAATAAAATTAAAAAAATAACTGTACGCCTATTTTAAATTATTAAAAAATGGGATTATGATTTTGGTTTAGCGTGATGTAGTTAATATTTGGTGGTTGTAATTTGTATCAATGAGGTGCGAGGTTTCAATTTCAAGCTTTTACGTTATTTATTGTTTACCATTAAAATGAATAAATAAATAAAAAAGTAAACTACAAGGGTGACCACTTAACTATAGCTTTTTTTCACTTTGACTATTAATGTTTCAATTTAATCAATTATATCACCAAACTATTTAAATATTTCAATCAAGTCACTTACCGTTAAGTTTTAATGGAGAATGTGACATGACAGTTAAAAAAATTGGTATAATTGTATATTTGGTCATAATTTAATTTAATTAAAATAAATTTTATTTTCAATTAGATGGTGACATGTGTCAATACTATGTTGGAGGACATTTTCATAATTGTTTATTTATTTAATCCAATTTATATTTCCATCAATAAAACGGTGACATGTGTCACAATCTTATTAAGTGAGAAAATGAAAGGGAGATTAATACACTTAACAAGAGTCAAACTTGGGTCATCCTGGTAACATGCACACGCCTGAACCGCTAAGATAACCAATTCCTTTGGTTTTGATTTACAAAATATTTTATATATCTTAGTCCAGTTAAAGAGAAAAAAAAGAATTGAAAATGCACATTGCGGATTTGAAACAAGGATGAAATTACTTTAACCATTAAACTCAATTGTATTTGAATATAATTTACAATATTTTTATATATTTTAAATTTTTAATGAAAGAAATAATGTTTAATTTTTATTTATTAAGTATAATTTATAATATTTTTTTATATTTTTAATGTTTGTTCATGGAAGAAATAATATTTAATTTTATTTATTAATTATAATTTAATATTTATATATAATATTAGAAATTATTTCTTCCATTAACAACAATTCAATAGAATATATGATTATTAAATTATAATTAATAAATAAAATTAAATATTATTTCTTCCACTAACAAAAATTAAAAATATATAAAATATTTTAAATTATAATTAAGAAATAAAAATTAAGAACTAATTCTTTCATTAACAAAAATTAAAAATATGTAATTTTTTTTGTAAAATATAGTTAATAAATAAAAATAAAAATTATTTCTTCCATTAAAAAAATAAAATTATATAAATTATAGTTAATAAAAAATTAAGAATTATTTCTTCCATTTAAAAATTCTAAAATATATAAAAATACAGTAATTATATTTAAATGTGATTAGATTAATGGTTAAAGTAATTTCATCCTTGTTTTGAATCTCCAATTTGCATATTCAATTCTTTCTCTCTCTTTTTTCTAATTTTAACTGAAATAAGATATATACAATATATTGTATATTGAAGGTAAATGAGTTAGGTTATCTCAGCAGTTCAGTGTGTGCGCATGTTAATTAATCCACTTAATATGGTTGTGACATGGTTCACCACCTTATTGAAATAAATATAAATTAGATTAAATAAATAAATAATTATGAAGATGTCCTCCAACTAGATACTGACACATGTCCTCATTTAATTGAAAATAAAATTTATTTTAATTAAATTATGATTAAATTGATAAAAAATATAAATATTAAAGATCAAATATGTAATTATACTAAATCTTTTAACTGCCACGTCACTTCCCTGTTAAAAGTTAATAGACAGTGATTTGATTGAAGAATTTAAATAGTTGGGTGGTCTGATTGATTAAATTGAAACATTGGTAGTCAGAGTGAAAAAGGTTTATAGTTAGGTGATCTTCCGTGCAGTTTACTCTAAATAAAAAGGGAGCGAAAGCAAAGGAAGGATGTGTCTTATTAAAGGAGGAGAGAAGAGGGGTGTGTTTGGTTCTTTTGGATCCATTTTGTTCTCCCAAATCTCCTCTTTCTTCTTTCCTCTCTCTCTCTTTCTCTCGGTCATCATCTCCTAATTGAAAAGATAAAGGAAAAAGGAAGAGAGGAAGAAGGGAATTGAGAAAAGAAATTGGAGTTTTGGGTGTGTGTTTCAGAGTTGATACAAACAAGAGTCGGAGATTTGGGCTTCAGAGGGCATTTTATTGCTTAAGAATGGATTTTGATAATATTGAATGCCTTTCGACCGTAGATGAGGCTGAGATCCATCACCATAATCCACACCCTGGCCCTGCCTACCATCAACCCCCGTCGTCGAAACCTCATAATGCCACTAGAAACAGCATCGATAATGGTAATAACATCAACAATCTCGGAATTCCAACGGCGGTCGCTCCAGCTTCCAGCGTCAGTGAATTGTTAGAATGCCCTGTTTGTACCAATTCTATGTACCCGCCGATCCATCAGGTTTTATCGCGTCTTTCTTCAATTCATTACCCCCTTCCCCCCTGCTCGTGTTGACTTTGATTTGTTGTGCATTTGAAGGGAAAGCATTGTTTTTGTAATAGTTTCTTTTCAATTTTTAAGATGGATTGTGCATATTCATTTACATATTTGCGTAGAAATTATAGTTCATCATGTATGTTGTTATTTTTCTTTTTGGGTCTAATAACCATTGTTTAGTAACCAAATGGATTCCGATTATATCTAGAATCAAGCCGGATCGAATCCTTAAACGGGACAAATTTCTCCTAACATTGTTTTTTTCTATCTTGTAATCTGAAATTCTATTACAGAGAAGAAAACATTGGAATAATTTGAGAAGGTAATTTCTCTGATGTGCTGGACGGTGAGATCTCTAAATATTTGTTTGATCGGTTAGCAAACAGGGACGGACACAGGTTCTAATATTAGGGGGTTGAATTTATAAAATTCTAGAAAATATATTATCAATAAAAAAAATATAAAAAATATATCTAAAATATATAATAATTAAAAATTTTAGGGTACATAGCAAGGATATTTTGTTTGTATATGGAGGATAAATTCCTCTCTCTAACACTACGGCTTTTTGCAGTGCCCCAATGGACATACACTTTGTTCTACCTGTAAAATCCGAGTACACAACCGGTGCCCGACTTGTAGACATGAACTCGGTGATATTAGATGTTTAGCATTGGAGAAAATAGCAGAGTCCCTTGAATTGCCCTGCAAATACTACACGTTGGGGTGCTCGGAAATATATCCCTACTACAGCAAACTCAAGCATGAGGGAATTTGCAACTACAGACCATACAATTGTCCCTATGCTGGTTCGGAGTGTTCCGTTGTTGGGGATATTCCTTTCCTCGTTGCCCATCTGAGGGATGACCATAAGGTGGACATGCACACCGGCTCCACATTTAACCATAGATACGTGAAATCCAACCATCGGGAAGTTGAAAATGCTACTTGGATGCTGACGGTTAGTTTTGTATCTTTTATTACTATGTTCCGATGTGATCTGTAATAATCTTCCTGGCATGAACCTTAATCTGCTGGTTTTGCTGATGTTTGACAGGTGTTCCATTGTTATGGTCAGTATTTCTGCCTACACTTTGAAGCCTTCCAGTTGGGAATGACTCCTGTCTACATGGCATTTCTTCGTTTCATGGGTGACGAGACGGAGGCTAGGAACTATAGCTACAGCCTAGAAGTTGGAGGAAATGGCCGGAAACTTACATGGGAAGGCACCCCACGCAGCATCCGTGATAGTCACCGGAAAGTCAGGGACAGCCATGATGGTCTAATCATCCAACGAAACATGGCACTTTTCTTCTCTGGTGGGGATAGAAAGGAGCTAAAGCTGAGGGTTACAGGAAGGATATGGAAGGAAGAACAAAATCCAGATGCTGGTATGTGCATACCGAACTAATGTAGCTGAGACAATTGATTCTGACAACTTTTTTTTCTGTCTGTTTCGATCTGTTTTTCAGTGTGTTCAACCGCTCTCTGCCAACCCGTTTCTGGTATATTGTAATGGATGAAAATTTTCAGCTTCAATGAAATGTGCAATAAGAATATCTTATTCCCCAACCTTCTTTTTGCAATAATTTGATTAATTTGAATGTAACAAGAAAAAAGTAACACAAAGTCACGTACACCATACGAATTCACGATCAAACACGATACGAATGGATGAAAGTTTTCAATTGAGTATATGTTTAATCTTGGAACAGGAGCAATATAATAGTGTAGTAAGAGACAATTAACAATATTATTATTTTGTAGCATCAAACACAAGAAAGTACTTAGTTGAAACAATTAATAGAAGATCTTCATCAGCTAATATATTATCAAGTAAGGCTTTTTTCGATAACCTATCAACTATATGTCTAATAGAGAATCTAATCTTCCATGCAAGGACAAAACATATAGAAGTGTACTATTACTATGTTCGCGAGAAAGTCCTTGAAGGGGAAATCAAGATGGTGCCAACAAAGACAGACGAACAAAGACTGTTGTATTTCTTTGTTCTATCAGCATTTCATTATTTCCATGGTTGACTTTCTGTTCCATATTTCCCTTCTTTGCATTTGCTGCTCTTCAGGTTTGTATGTGTACAGCTCTTTACATCTAAGAGATGGTTTTAAACGGAAAGAGAACATGCTCTTTGTATTTACAATATGGAGATAAGGGAGAGTCTTAAAAGGAATTAATGTGTCTTGAATAGGTTCTTGAAATTTCTGTATAGTAATGTAAACTTGGAATTGCTGTATATTTTGGACTATGGACATTTTTTTCAATGAAATCTTGAAACATTCTTTGAAACTATTGATATTTCTATAAAAATATTGATAATTCTTTGTTTATTTCTTTATGATTGCTCAAGCTATTGTTTTAATACAAACACTATACGAATTCAGGATCAAACACGATATTAGTGGAATTCACATCATATAGTTTTGAATGACAAATCTCAGATGACACCCTCAGATCCTTTCCAGCAATAATTATTAAGCCAGTATTCCCATCAATAATTAAGAAATTATGCTTACTCAAAACCAGATTTTCTTTTAATTCCCCAATTAGAGAGACTAAGCAGATAAAACTGAGACCATGAATGAACATAAAAGATGAGACTTTATCATTCAAAATACGGAAGCTATTACCTGCTGTCATTTGCAATCAGTTTTAGACAATATTTTCATCAAAATGGTTGCTTTGCATCAACAGCATTAGAATCTGCATCAGACCCCATAACAGAAGCTTCCTCAATAGGCCCTTCACTCTCATCTTCACCCGGTACTTCACCTCGAGAGGAAGCATCAATGGTGTTTTCAGTGTCTACAGACGACTCAGATTCACCTTCCTTTCTCCCAAATAACTTTGATGGAAGCAAAGATGCAACTGCAGCTTTGGCACTTCTCTTGGCTGCTTCTGCAGCTTCGACTTCTCGAGCTTTAGCTTCGGCCTTCAGTCTCTCTTTCTCCTCCATAAGCTTTGTCAACTCATCTTCTCTCCCTACATTTCTTAACAGCTCTTTAACAAATCCTTGCAACTCCTCGGTAAAATCAGAGATTTCCTCATCCAACATCTCATCAACCATCTTCAGTGCATCATCCAACTTCCCGACATCACTGAGTGCTTTCATCATAAACTTATAGCTTGCATCATCCATCTTAAGCTTCTTCACCATTGTATCGTAAAACGATTTCGCCTCATCCACTTTCCCAACTTTAACCAATTCATCCACCAATCTATTGTAAACAGCCAAGCTCGGCCTCAAACCCGCCTCTACCATCTTCCTAAAATATGAAGCTCCGTCATCAATCCTATCCACTTTAAAGCAAGCATCCATCAACAGAACATAAGTATACTCATCAGGGCTAACCCCCTCAGTCCCCATTCCACCATATAGCTCCTCCGCTTCACCCACCAATCCATTTTGACACAACTGATCAATCAAATTGTTAAATGACAAAGTATCCATAGTACACCTATAATCGAGCATTGACCTGAAAACATCGATGGCTTCCTTAAACTTACCTTCGGCGCAATATCCATCAACAATCACATTAAAGCTTCCCAAATTCACAGCTAATCTCCTAGGAGGATTATGCTCATTTTTCATCCTATCAAACAACCTCAAAGCCTCATCAAACTTCCTGTTCTTACTTAATGCGTCAAGAACATAATTATAAGCAACATCACTTATTTTAAGCTTTGAATTCTCTCCACAAGCTTCTTCATAACACTTCATAGCTTCCTTCTCCATTCCCTTCATGAAGTACCCGTTTATTAAGCCCCCATAAACGACCCCATCATCCAAAACCTCATCTTTCTTCTCTTTTAACTCCTCAAAAAGCTTAAAAATCCCATTGGAATCGCCGTTCTTGGCACAGCCGAACATTAAAAAACTATAAACAATAGGGTCAGGAGCCAAACCTTTCTCGGTCATTTCATCCTTCATTTCCACAGCCTTCTCGAGTTTCCCATTATCCACCAACCCTTTGACTAAAATCCTATAAGTAGTAGGAGAAGGACTCACCGGGGACTCATTAATGAACTGCTTGTAATGCTCGAGGGCAGTATCGGGTTTTTTGCAATCAAGATAAGTTTGGAAAATTAGATTGTGTGTGATCACATTGGGGGCGATTCCAGCTAGGATAATGAACCGATGCAAAGAGAGGAGATCCACGTACTTCAATTGCCGGAGCTGGGCGTTCAAGACGGCGTTGACGGTGTAAATCGTTGGGCGGCAATTAGAGTAAACAGAGTGGCGCGTGTACAGAGCGGCTTCCTCGAGGTCGTTCTCGCGAATGAGCTTCAAAATCTTGTTGTGGAGGTTGAGGCGGTTGCCGGAGAGTGCCGTTACGGGTTCAGGAAGTTTACGGGCGTTTGGGTTTTGAATCGGTCTCGGTGGGGTCACCTGCTGAGCCTGTTGTTGGGAACGTTGAGAGGAGGAGAGCGGAGGTTCGACTCGGAGGCGACGCTTGCGGCGACGGCGTTCAGCGGCGGCTTCTTCCGGGGTACTAAATGAGAGGCAACGGAGGGTAACGAAAGAGGGCGCAAAACGGTGGCGGGGATTGGCGAGGATTTTGAGATGGTCGAGGAAGGCGGTTTTCAAAAGAGCCATTTTTGTGAGGTAAAATGGAAGGAAAGTTTAGGCTTCGGGGTTTAGTTGGTGGGAAGATGGAGGGTTTTTAATATGCTGAAAACGGAACACTTTGGGGATAAAATTGATAGGGTTTAAGGACGAATGAAAAAAATGAAAAATTCTGAGAATAACATTTGAATAATTAAGAAAATTATATAATATATATTAATTAATTTTAAAACATTTCATCATAATTAATTAGAATTATTGATATATATATATATATATATATTCAAATATACATTAAATTTAAGCTTAATTAAATAAAATAAATATTAAACTATAAAATTTAATATGTTTCAAAATTATTATACTTCGATAGAAATATACATGAATTCTAAATAAAAGGTAATCGTCTACTGAAATATTTTAATTAATATTTTAAAATTAACTAATATACTTAATTTTTAAAATATAATTATTACAAAATTTTATTTTATTTTTTATGATTATTTTTTTGTGATACTTCTTTTTTATCAATAAATATATTACGTCATTAAAAAATTATATATTTGATTATGATATAAATTTATATTTTTAATGTGATTATTTTAAAAAATTATTAATAATATATTTATTATTATAATTTAATTTTAAAAAAGTTAAAGGTTTATGTTATATTTGTGGAGTTCTAGATATTTATCGATGAAATGGACATTAAATTCACGTCTAAGATCTCTAGAAAGAATGAACTAAAAATTTTGGGTGCAATGAACATTGGCAGAGGCAGCCAATGATGACAGACGGTCAATGACGATAATTTTAATCGAATTCATAAGTTAAACTGATATTTTATGTAACCTTACTAGCATTTGTTTGGTTGGTGAGAAAAAAGGGAAAGTGGAAAGGCCAAAAGTGATCCTTTCTTACTTTCGAGTTTTATATTAGTGTCTTGATTATTATTGCAAGTTGAGTTGTTATGGTTATAATATGGGTATAAATGAATATGGTATTTGATAAACTATTTGTGAATCGTTCGTAGTAGGTGCTACAAATGAGTGGACAACTTTGTGATTGAATAACATTTGTTGTAGCCATGGGCTGTGGAATCTCGTAGAGCATCAAACGTGTCCCTGGTTATGAAGACCCAAAAGTTCTTGCTGCCGAAACACCTTGTGAGTAACAATTCTGGATCTTCATGTAGCTCACAAATATGTCTTATGTTGCTTGGATTCTTTATATTTCTTTGTCTCTGGCACACATATCCTACACATGTTTGGTCAATTGGAGCACGAATTATTTCTCTTGTTTGCAGTTACGGTTAGCGAATTAGAGGCCTTGTATGAGCTTTTTATGAAACTAAAGAATTCGATAATTGCAGAATATGGGCTTATTCACAAGGTACGTTTAAGATTCGAGATGTAATCGAACATCAACGATTTTCTGTCATGTTTTGACAAATTAGATGCCTCCTCATTTGAACAGGAAGAGCTCCGGTTTGCCCTCTTCAAGAGCAAAAATCATAGGAATCTTTTTGCTTTTGCGGACAGGGTGTGTATTGCTAGCTCCACATTGCTGGTATTAGGTATCTAACTTTATTTTTGTGCAGGCTTCAGCTAATATTGCATGTATTTATAGCTGTTTGTAACGCTAAATCACTCCAACGAGAACATATCTCTTCTTCTGCAATGTTATAGTTCTGTCTTCACTTATATCATTGCCTACTATTCACTGATTTTCGATTTGTTTGGTGTTGAATGTAATGGGGTTATTGCGTTCGGGGAGTTCGTTCGACCATTGGGTGCCTTTCACCCCAATGCACCTGTGGCTGAAAAAATTGCATGTCATGTTTTTCTTTCTTGGGTAATACATTGAGAAATTATGAACCTTCCTTCAGAAACATGTTCTAAGTTGAATCAATCCCTTTGCAGTTGCTTTCAGGCTGTATCGAGTTCGTGTCGCACCGTTGACATACTGAGTTTCATTGTCTAAGGATTGTTTATCGTTGATACAAACTAAAAGTTTTCATCAACTCACAGTTGAAGGGCATGGTTTTGGCACTTTTGCATGAATCGGGTTTAGTTCTTTCGGAGGATGTTGTTGAAACAATTGTGGATAAGGTGCAGACGCTCAACTATTCGATCTATTTGTATTCGATACTGACATTCTTAGTCTCCGTTTCTTCCGTGTTTCCCGCTGACATTTGTCGAAGCAGGGTGATGGGAGAATTGATCCAGAAGAGTGGAAGGCATTTGTATCAAAATATCCCACTCGATTCTAAAACTGGGTAATATATAGCAGCTTAGCATTATGTCGTTCCGACCCTTTCTTTATTTTTTTCAAAAAGTACTTGTTTTCGATATGTCCATATTAGAAACATACTCGTATTCGATACTCAGTACAACTGAATTTGACTTGATCCGATCTATGACTACCTCTAATATCCCATATAATTCCAAACATTTTCACTCAATCCGACAGCACCCGTGATGCCCCCATGGGCATGCTTTAATGAGCAACGAACCAGCAAACCAATGGCCTATCGGTATGCATTCATTTCTCAGTTCAACTACCCAACTCACCGACACCAACATAACTTTAAGACAAACCCGAGCCGCACATGCCCCAAACAGTTGCACCGACAAATAGGTAAAATCCAAAGCAAACATATCATTTTCTTCAGACACCTCTTTAGGCTCCAATAACATTTATTGTCGTTAGCAAGAATAGTGACACTTATTTCATATGAATATATGATATATGCATCTGATATTCATGTTCAAGTTCAATTTAATAATGAATTTATTTAAATTATACAATATTTTTTAAAATTTTAATAATTAAAACAACCATTTAAATACTAAAAAGAATATATGAATTAAAATCATAATTACACCATAATTTTCATATTTAAAATTTAAAATTATTTAAATTGATTAAAAAATTTAACAACCGGTAATGGATACACTGATCATTTGTCAAACCATACACTTATGAAAAATCTAACTTAAACTTGTAAACCAGCCAAGAAAGCAACCCCAGTTGATGGTAACCATGATGATCCATAAATAAACTGTTGAACTGTAAATTTGCTTGCTTCGACTTCAGAAGTAATGACTCTATACCCGGGCCATCCGATCCGTTGCCCGACCGCCGCACCCGGCCCATAGTTCATGTATTCGCCGTAATATAGTGTATCCAAGGCGAATGTGGCGTTCCACTCGAGCCATCCCCTAGGGTGAATGTGGTTGTTCATGTATGACAACATGACCACGGTCCTGGAGTAAAGTTTCCATGGACGGCCTAGATACGTTTGGAAGCTGTTGTTGGCTGCGACGAGATCTGGTGTGGGTAGAATTCGCGATGCATGGATCGAAATTCCTGTATTTTGATTCGGGTCTTTTCGATTTTGAGCCGTGATGGTGTTCTTTTGTAAGGCCATCGGTTTTCGAGCGTAAATGCTGCAGTTTTGGAGCACCACGGCGGCGTTACCAAAAATGAAATCGACTGTGCCGTAAATATCACATTCGCGGTAGAATTGCCGGTTGGAGTGAACATATAGGGTGTCTTGGTATCCAATAATGTTGCATCGGTAAACTACGGCATGATCCGCCCCGACACGAAGAGCCACGGCCTGATGCTTGGCAGGTCCGGCCCAGTTCTCGAATGTTATATCTCTTGCAATAAAACCCGCACCGGTCGCAGCTGTAGAGAGAAAACGACACTCGAACAATCAATGAATCCATCCGAGCTTCAAATTGTAGCAAAAAATCATAACCTTTCATCTCTCTAACAGTTTCCAATTAAATTAGAATTATTTTCTATAAATTAAATTCGATTTCTATTTGAAAAAAAAAATAATGAAAGAAAATATATGGTTAGGTGAAGTGAATATAAGAATCTAGTACTTTGTCTATCCAGAATAACTGCCCATGTGCAACTTCAACATCATGCATGTCTTAAAGGTTTTGGACCTTTTGGTCCCGTTAGTGCTTCTTTTATTATTTTTATTTCAGATAAATATATATTTTAATACTCGACTTTGATTTTAAAGTTCAACTTAATATTTACATTTTTATGGTCCAATTATATGATAAGTACCAATTCAAAAAAAATTAAGTTTATATATTAATTTAAACAAAAAAAATTAAATTCAATTACTTAATTGAATCAAAATAAAAATTAAATACTAAATTGAGTATTAGACAAAAGAAAGTACTACAAGTAGCAAGGTAAACCGCGTAGACTTACCGAAGGACGCGGTGTGGAATGTGGTCATGTTGTCATATACACTTTTTCCTCCGGAAATGACTGTTTTACCCTTCCCGTCACCTACAAACATCAAGTTTATTTTCTTCCTCCCCACCTTCAAATCCTTCTCTTCGTACCTGCAAATCACATTGCTCAGATTTTTATTACTAAAATCTTCATCTGCTTCTTCTATTGAAGAATCAGTCAATTTTTTTGTTTTTTGTTTAGATTTTCAAAAACAATGAAAAATAATATTAAATATTAAACTTCTTATATAAAAAATAAAGATTGATTTTGTTATACCAACCCACTAATGTACTATTAAAAATAGAAAAATATCATTCAAAGCCACAACTATTTTTTAATTAATAACTAATATCTTATCTATTAATTCAAATCGGATATTACGCCTCTCACAATCTAGTTTGCTCCATTCATAAAAGTCAAGATTCAAACATTTAACATTATTTGAAAATTATAGTTTCTCATCCCACTAGATCAACCGATTGTTGATATAATCTTGTCTATGATGTTCAAGGTCAATAAATATATTTATAAATATGATAAAAAATTAAAAATACCAATTAAATAGTTTTAAATTATATATTAGTAGGAAGTTTCTAATAAATTTGATGTTAATTATTTAATTAAATACTAATAGTGTATCAAGAAAAGCCGAAATTTTAAAGGTTGTAACGGTAAATTAGGCTTTAAAATTATTAAAACAGTAATTTACCTTCCTGCTCTCACGTATATGATGATCCGCCGAGAACTATATTCCGGCGCCTTTTTTATCGCCTCACCAATCGTCTT